AGTAAGAGTCAATTGAACAATTGTACCGTAAACAACTGTCTTATGTATAATATTTTTTTTTTTTTCTATTTTTTTTTTATAAGACTATAGGAAGGACTAAAAAGGTTAGAACTTTTAGTACACTCGAACAGGGGCTAGTGCACTGCTAGCACAATATATTGTACATATATTCACCTGAGAAGTGTAAGCCGAATACAAAGTTATTATGTTAGTCGGTTGTTTGGAAGTCAGTTTCACAACAGCAAGCACACTAGGTCGACATTTATGAAGGTCTAGGAACAGGAGCAAGTTACTAGATAAGAGGCTATTATCCTTTTGAACTTTTTTTTAACGTTTGTACTCACCTTTTCAACTTGTTATTAAATCGGGTATCCTTCTAACCAAGTATCAACCAGAAAACTGGCATCCTTAGAAAAAATTAGAAATAACTTCACAAAGTTTGCACGTTTAAGAGTAACGACGGTAAGAAAATACGGTTAAAGTTTACAAACGAAGGATTTACACATCCACAAATCCCATCTAGAAAAAATTAATTGAAACAGTCTTGCGGAAGGGACTGTCGATATGCCCTTTGTACCCGACATTTAGGCTAATGGACTGTGCAGGTGCACTTTTGTAGGAACAGAGTTCATGCTGCAGTCCTAACATCATGTATGTGTTGCTTCTTTGGGGCTTGTTTTCATAGACCTGGTTGCTTATTTCTCTCAAATCTGGCAACAGAGTGGGCGCAGTGTCTAATTGTAGCAGTAAGCTAACGAGTACTGAAAGCTTTATTTTGTTTTGATCCAATGCTGCACAACTGAACTGATCCAATGCTGCTGTGAAAGAAAGAAGCTATATCCATGTTGGATAGAATATCCAATTTAAATAAAAAGGGACCACTTGAATGCTTTTTTTCTTTTTTTCCTCTTAATGCATTGCATAAAGATCGGATCGGGAAAAATCGGTATCGGCAAATTGTCAAAATCAAATGATCGGAATCGGATCGGGAGCAAAAAAAGGTGATCGGGACATCCCTAGTTATTTGTGAAAGTACTGATGACAAAAACAACAATACTTAAATTAAATTATTCATGTGCAACTAAATTGCTGCAAAAAAAAGACAATTCCAGTTTGCAAAGAAAATCACTTCAGCATATAACACATCATAATTAAAATGGTTGACAGAAAGAATGAACTTAAGAGCTAGTTTTCTTATCTGTTTGACTCATGTCCAGCTAGTGTCTTTTCACATTTTCAATCAAAGTATAAATATAACGTGGACATTATATAACATAAAAACATGTATATATATATATATACACGCATATTTTCATGCATTTTGACTAAAGCTTGTTGGAAGTCATGATTGAGTGCGAAAAAGAGTAATTTACTAAATAGTTTGCCAGAAGAGCTCTCCTTTCCCTTCCCCTTCTTTCTTTCTTTCTTGATTTCCAATTTTTACCTTCAAGCTAAAAATGTCAGCCTCACCTTTACTCACACATACTCACTCAGGAAAAAGTGTGATTACCCCACAAGCGCAAACACACACGTACCCAATACCTTCAGCCAATCCTGAAATAAATTCTGAGAAATCTGAAATCCAATATCCTTCACAAAAATCAACTTTTTGTTAGATTTCTCTCTTATCTCCCGGCTCGTGCTTCTCTGTCCTCTTCCTCTTTGTCTCGTTCCGGTGTAATTTCTTTCTAGGAGTACCTGAAATTGTCTATAATTTCCACATCCTGTTTTGACAACTCACCCCCCTCCACCTTCCTTCGCAGTTTTCCTTTTCCTTCTTATATTTACTTTCTTTAGATTTTTTGATTTGACATGCCCTCCATACCCCTCCGCCTATTTCCCTCTGTTCTCCTCCCTCACTCACTCTGCCAGGCGAGCTGTTTTCAGAGGAAAGCACAAAAAGATGCTGCTGTTTGTCTTCTCCACCCTTTGTTGTATTTTCACTTTCTTACCTGTTTTTCTTCTCCTCCCTCGCGTATCCGTGGGCTTTCTTCTTAATCTTCCTTTCAGTGAGTTCGCCACTTCGTGAATGTTGAACAGAGACACTCAACTCAGATGAAGGTCACATTGGGCTAAAGTGGAGAAGAAGAAGAAAAAAGGGTAATTAGTGACGGGGGTGGATGTTTGCGTGCACATGTTTGTCCATGGAGGATTGGAAAAGGCTGCTTTAATCATTCTAATGTCTCTCATGGAGAAGACCAGGCAGCTTATCTGCATACACTCATGTTACACACAGTCATTGTCAACCCTCCCGATTTTCGCGGGAGACTCCCGATTTCATTGCCCTCTCTCGGTTTCCTCCCGGGGTCATATTTCTCCCGCATTTCTCCCGATTTCTGACAAAATCAGATTTACACACGACTGCTTCCACTCGGACTTTAATACAGCTACACCATTGTTTGGTTTCCATGGTAACACGTCTCTTTAGTAATGCGCGCAACTCAAAGTCTGAGAGGGTGAGGCAGATACTCACAGAAAACAGAACAAGAATCGACAACTGCTCACTCCTTTCCTGTAAAATACAGGTCCAGCTCACACATATGCTCCATCAAGGACGGTGCTACAGGCCGCAAGGCAGTGCATTTACAACTACAATAATACAATAAGCATGTTAATGTTAATCTAACAGCTCCGGCGATCCACTAGCACCCCCCCACCCCAGTTTTGCATTTTGAAATGTTCCCGATTTCTGAGGTCTAAAGGTTGGCAAGCATGGGTGTATAACGTATTTCAAATCCCCACTTTTAGCAAGTGCAACATTGGAAGTGATGAACACAATAATTCATCAATATTTATAATGGGCCATTCTGCACAATGTGGTCTTTTACTCTTGTTGCTTAAAGTATAATTTTATGCTAATACTAACGTATCATTTTGAATCCAGGACTTTAACAGAGTATTTGGAAACTGTAGTATTGCCTAAGTAAATAATCTGAGTACTTCTTCCACCTCTGCACTCGTGAAGGAGATCCTGCTGCATGTTTGAATGACATCTCAACATCTTTTGCTCTACAAATCACTAAATCAAGGCTTCCAAATAGTCCCTCTAGAAGCAGATCTGCAAATGTAGTTTGCATAATGCTGAATTTTAAATTGTACTTGTTGTATGACCTTCATTTTGCCTTCATGCAAGGAACCACCCGGCACAGGCTTCCTCTCTCCAGCATCCAGAGCAGAGCTGAGCCAAAACGTGGATGTTTGAAGGTTTCTTTCAGCTTGACAGATACGATTTTGTATCACCGAAAAACAAAAAAGGCAGAAAGGCGTGAACTTGTAGCAATGCATACTCTGATCACAGCAGTTATTTGCACGTGAAAACAATGAGTGAACTAGAGATGATTCCACATGTATCCAACAACCTCTAACAATGCAGCAGAGGATCCATTCTCCTGTCACAATAGGGAAAACATTCCAAACAATTACACATGTCTAATACCTACAGGCATATCAGTTATTGAGCTACTCTAAAACAACCCAAAAATGATTAAAACAATGCACTAAATTAAGATATCACTCTATTTAACCGATGCAGCTAATTCAACAAATTAACAAATGAGCCCAAACACGGCACAATGCTGTGAACCCGGTTAATTTCCATTAAATGATAACACATTCCAGCCAATTCAGGATTTTTTTTTTATTTGCGTATTCATACATTCCGGGCACGGGCGCATGAACCTCAACCTTTGTTAATATGAATATATTGTGAGGCATTTGCATAATCCACTTCATAATCCACTGCAGCACTCGGCGGTGACAGAGATAAGGAGGGGAGCCACTGTTTCTCCTGGGAACGCTACAGATAAACGGAGACCCACTTTCTGCTCCTATTATGAGATATTAAAACAAGAGGGAGGCTTTGCGAACTTTCCACTTTTCAACGCATTTCCCTCTCAGAGACAGATGCTGGTGGAATATCATTATTTATGTTTTTTTTTCTTTTTATTTCACAAACCTTGAAATTTACCGAATTTCCTTTGGAGACGAGGTGCATGGGTTATTTATGTATCCGCCACCGACACAGCATGCTGATTTTATTACCCCTCTGCTGCTGCTTCTTCACTGAGACGCTGAAATATGTTTCTTGCAGAAAATGTTTTTCACTCAGAAATTGAAAAACTCCAGCGTGCAGCGAGGAGGAATCACAGGGCCACAAATGAGCAAACAGAAAGCAAACTCCCCGCGTGTCCTGAACATCACTAATGAGAACCCTTTTAGCTTCAACATATATGGAAGTGTGTGTGTGTGTGTGTGTGTGTGTGTGTATGCATCAAAAAGTTCAGGTATGGTTCGGTAAAGGTGACACTCACTGTAGTCATGCAATGGGTTCAGGTGCATGCTTCCAAACAGGGAATTTTAAGACATACCATTTTATGAGATCTGTTTAGAGTCCACCTATTTATATATAATCACAATAAGCTGTTTTTCTCCACTGCACAGTGTTAATTAAACTGCAATTAATAAGTTATAGTGTTTGTATTACATGTATATAGTTGACTTATTCCTGTTTTTAACTTGCACCATTGTGTCACTTCCAGTTCCACATGTCTTCTTGTGTCTTCAGTATAGTGTATGCTGCATTGTCAAAAGTCAAGCAACAACAACTACCTTTTTGAACAGTGAATACAAATCCAAGTCTCTAAAAATAATATTCTTTTGGCAAAGAAATATGGGTTAAATTCTACAAGCAATATAGGCTTTAATCCGTCAGGCTGCATCCTATCTGTTTCAAAAGGACAGTCCTGCTATATATCAGCGCCACTAACTCGCGTGTGTGTGTGCATGTGTGTGTGTGTGTGTGTGCAGCAGTCAGAGCCAGCGGCAGCACTGACTGTGTGTCGCAGCAACTTAATAAAGAACCATAACCTCGTCTCGCTGCTCGGAAAACTTTGGGTTTGTGTTTTGAGTGCGAGTTGAGTCGCTGGCATGCGATGAAGGACTCAGCGACTTCTGTCCGACAAGCGCGCTCCGTCATGTAAAACTAAAACATCTGAGACAGAGGAGCCTCAGACCACAGAGCTCTTTAAAGTCTCAGAGCATGAAAACAGACCCGCTGCCTCATAGACCACCAGAGAGAAAGAGCCAGTGTGTGTGTGTGTGTGTGTGTTTTACCTCTTGAGGTTAAGCAGAGCCCAGGGGATGCCGGTGGGCGTTTTGAAGGCTGGCAGCAGCTTTTCACCCAGCTCCACCGCCTTCCTACGGTAAACCTGAGACAGAAAGAAAGAGCATTTCATTAAAAAAGGCTTCTGACTCACACTTCACATTTTCTTGATCAACACTGCATCCCACGAGGAAAAAAGAGAATGACTTTCTACTGCACACGATGAGCCTTTTAGACGCATTACTCAAGAATAGTTTGGCTGTCATTTAACCATGTAAACATACGTGGAATTGTAATATATATATTACAGCGTGATGCAAACACAGGTATGGGGAAAAAAGAGAGAACTCTTCGAAGCAGAAAAAAAACAGCGTAATATACCATCTGACAATGACAGATTTTTCTTTTGGGATATTTTACAAATCACTCCCCTTTCAAACTCTATTCTTGTTATTTTTAACAACTTTTTTTTGTTACTGTCATATAGTANCCCTCAGACTTGACAGAACATTTTATGGACAACTCGGCTCTGGCCCTGGTGGACGGGGAGCCGTGGTCCCTCCACCAGCCCCTCACACACTCCTGCTCTCTCACGAGAGCAGGAGTGTGTGAGGGGCTGGTGGAGGGACCACGGCTCCCCGTCCACCAGGGCCAGAGCCGAGTTGTCCATAAAATGTTCTGTCAAGTCTGAGGGAAACACAGAGTGCAAAACAAGCGTTTATTTATAGCGACACATTATCAAGGATTAAAGGTGGGGTAGGTAAGTTTGAGAAACCGGCTCGAGGTACACTTTTTTGTTATATTCCATGGAATGCTCTTAACATCCCGATAGCAATGAATATCTTAAGTGCTTTGACAAAAAATCCATAAAAAAATGTCATCTGTGGAAGCCGTGGTGCTACAAAAAGCACGACCAATCATCTGAGCCGGCCCGGCTAAAGTAACTGGATGGCCTGTGCACAAACTTATCTCGTGCCCTCATTGGTCATGTGCGCGTTCGTGTTTGTTGGAGGAGGGGCTCTGTAAGGAAGAGGCAGATTTTTTCCGGCTGTGTATTTTCAAATTCTAGCGCACTCGAGCTGGTTTCTCCAAAATTACCTACCCCACCTTTAATTGTGCATCCACATTCCCTTAAAACTGATTATTTTCTTTTATATTTAGCACCTTTTTTCAGATATGTAAGCATACCTGTCTGTACCGGCTACCCAGGGAAAGGTCAGAGAATTTAAATGAATGTCTGAAGTTATTTTTTATTTGACATGACTTGAAGGAAGAAGGAAAGGGGTAATGTGTGTATGTGAGCAATAACGTGTAGATTTGAGTGGACTGTAAACTGAGGTGGGTGTGATTTTTATGTACATCTCCATGTAAGTTCTTTAAAAAAAACTCACGCCGGGCGCAGCTCAGAGGAGTGGACATCCCTCTGTTCATGACCAGCAGAGTACCTTCCAGCCCCGGGCAATGCATGGAAACCTCGATCTTCTCGATGCGGGGGTACAGAGCTCTCTGCCGGGCCTGCTCTCTGGAGAACACGGCATTACGTTGGCTGCGGACGTCTGCAGGCGAAGCACGCAGGGCTGCAGCGGCAGATGAAAAGCCTGTGAAGAGAAAGAAATGATGGAACCTAGCAGAAAAAGGGATGCAGTTTCTGGACTTTTCAAGAGCACTTCAAGGCTTTTATTGTCATTTGCACATTAGCTACAGTGTAGATATGTCAATGAAAGACTCAGGTCACAGGCTCCTCCAACAGTGCAACATATATATAGGACATAGAACAAATAAAACAAATACAATAGTGCAAGTAAATACAAATAAAATAGAATAGCAATCGTGCATTAAGAGTCTATATACAAGTAAATCGAATATGATATATTAGATCAATAATTTGTAAGATGCACAGATGAAACACTTTGAATTCCCCTTGTATAAAAAGTGCCAATGCAAATAAAGTAAATATATATATATAATGAAGACACTACTTTATGTTCGTGTTATATCAATATCTGGGCTTCAAACTAAATTGTTCTAAAAATAAATCTGTGTTTCAAAGTGAGGGGTAGGAACCAAGCAATCTATAGAGTTGCATTATGGGAAGTGTAGGCTCTCGTAAAATTAAATAATAACACTGGCTCTCACTTAAGGAGAGGTCCTTGTACGTTACTCTACGTACTGGAATAATTTACTGAGACATTTAGTAGAATAGAGGCGTGCTTATTGTTATGAATTACACTTTGCATTAAATGTCATGTCAAAATGTCTATTTATCCAGCCTCCAAATTACATTTCTACCTAGATAGCTCACATGCTAATGCTAACGTTACTCACGGCGCTGGAGAACTTGACACACGGTCCTGGTCACCATTGTGAAGAAGATATATATTTCTACACCTACATAAATAAATAAAAACGTAAATATATACGGAAGGGCAAATGGATAAACGTATGTCGCTTGTGTCTTTAGCTGAAGGACGCCATGCCTGTTTGACGTACAACAGTGAAGCAGGTCCGGGTAGGAACTTAATAGTGCTGGGAAAGTTCCATGTGACCTACATGACGTGCAGTTTGTGTTTATGACAGCAGGGGTCGCTGTTGCTACTCATCTCAAATATTTTTGTAGTCCGTTGCTGGAAATCTTTAGCAGCACCATTTTAATTAACATTCTCCAGAGCCGTATAAAGAGATATAGGGTTAGCCTATATATCTTATACGGCTCCGGCAGCAACAAAAGGCTGATAATACTTCCGCTGAAAGCTTTCAAAATAAGACAGAGCCTGCCAACAAGCTTTTAAATAATGACCTTCCTGAATCTCCTGAACATTTAGCGCTATAATTAGTAACAATGGGACTATTAATCAGCCATGATGAACAAGGGTTTACAAATATATACTTTAGGAACAAACATGTATAATGATGAAAACAAGCCAAGTGCAGTACGAGAAGCCCCTACAAAATAAAAGCACAAAGGAGACATTAACACAGCGCTCAAACACACCACCGAAGAAGAAAGCGCATATGATGCACACCCTTCGCCAATATGAAGCCACTCATGGCATTTTCTGCCTTTAAAGAATAACCCTTGTTATTTCTACAAGTGCTGAATCCACTACCTGTAATAAAGTAGATGCGACGCCGAATTATTATCTTGGGTAAGACATGTTTTCCTTTATCAGCACAGAATTACTAGCATTCACGCTCCTGAAAGAGGAGGCCCTGCGTTAACATAAAGCATGAAGTCATTAGCTCTTTGGCTAACTAACTTTAGCATTTGTTTTTGTTGCCTTGTTTTGTTCCTGAATGAGCCATGCAAAACAAAACAGATTGTAATTACCCTGCAACACGTAATAATCTTACATACAACACGTGTATGAATATTAAACACCTAAATAATAACATGCAGTTAGCCAGGAACTTTAGCAACATTAAGCTAAACCTGCAAGACTGTCAAAGAAGGAGCCGCTGCACAAACACAGTCAAATCATGTGCATGTTTTGTATGGGTGGCTACATATTTGTAGATCAAAGTCTTTCAACAAGGTTGCTTTATTACAGAAGCTTTATTTATCTATTTGTTTCCCCCTCACCAAAAAATACAAATAACATAATTTAAACATAAATACAAAATATTTTTGGTCAAATTATGAATACATTATCTAATATCGTTTCTGGATTTATCAGGCTCTGGTTGCTTGAAATCAGTAATGTTAGCACTGCTCTCAGAATGAATGAAAGCAGGCACTGAAATGTAGTCACACAACAATTACAATTCATCTATTAACATGTAGTAGTAAGTAAATATTAAAGTCAGGATTTTGTCTTAAAATGGCTCTAAAACATACTGTGATCACGTTTGCTTGCATTTTGTCAAGAAACAAATATGTGTGTTGCATCAGCGGTGTTACAAGTTACTTATTTGGTACTTCTAGATGCAGATAACTTGTTATTAACATTATCCTTTTTCCAGTCCTGCAGAATGTCCAAGATCAGGCGGAAGGTAACAGTGGAGAATTCAAAAACCATATCTGATAGCAGCAGCACCCCCGCCACCACCACCAGCAGCAGCAGCAGTAGCAGCAACCCCGCCGCCCCGTCCCGCCGGCCCAGTGTGTTTGAGAGACTTGGCCCCAGCACTGGGAGTAATGCTGCTGATGTAAGTTCACCCCATCGTGAGAGTCAGTTATCATGTCTTTTGCTTAGGGACTCCTTAAGTGGGAGCACCTTCTTTAGTAGGATAATGTTGAAAAAAATATCACTCGTCACCGGCTTGAGCTTCAATCTCAGGATCCATGTATTTCTGATACTCTCATGAATGGAAGTAGTCATCACACACAGAGCATCAACTAGTTCCTGAACAGTGTCCTTCACATGCTGATATCCAAGAGAGGGAGTTACACAGTCACAAGATGGAGGAATAGAAAGCAGTATTCAATGTTTACTTCAGATTAGCTCCACGTCAGAAATGAGCATGCTTGTCATATGTCTCTCTCCATAGAGGCTGAATCATCATGTTAATCACATAGCTATCATATGCCTCAAACAGTCCTGATGCTCTTCTAGGTAATCACACATCCTGTCATGTTCACAGCTACAGTTGGGATACTTTTGTTATCATGTGTACTCTGATATTGGAAGAGGACATTCAGTATTTTCCCAACAGATAATAAAACATGTTGTTCCTCCGACTGTTTCTACTGTGATGTTGTTTTATTTTAGTGGATGTTGCAGTATCTCATGGGGCCCATCTTTATGTTTTCTTTCAGAGTCACTGTAGAAATTGGCTGAAGACCGGTAATTGCAATTACGGCAACACTTGTCGCTACACACATGGAACTCAGCCACGAGGCAAAGGATTTAGCTTTAGTCGGTAAGACGGCTTGTTTTATTCATTTTGTCAATCAGGATTTTATGTAATAGTTAAGTTATATGGTTTTCCTGTTTCTTTTCATTACGTTTTTTTTTTGTGGCTTCTTCAAATTAAGATCACAAGGGTCATGATATTGACACGGTGTGTATTTATGTCTTTATGGAGCAGGTCAGCCGAGAGACCCACAGGTGATCTGCGGGAGAGGATGAAGAATAAAAGACAGGATGTTGACCCAGAAAACTTGAAGCGAGACCTAGACGAGCCCACATCCCCCCCAGCGAGAGTGAGTTCCCTCAGTCTAGTTTTTAAAGAAAACGTGTAATGGTGATAATACATCAAAAACAGTCTCTGGCCCACTGACCCAAATCTGAAGCTGTTCTCTAGTCTGAATTGGAATGTGATTTATTTTTGAAACCTGAATTGCGACCCCTATATAGCCTATGTAGAACACAAAAACAGGAAGTGATGTGTGTGTCATCCTCACATCTGTGTTTGTATCCATTTACAGCAGAGAGACTCCTCCAGAGGCAGACACAGGGAAAAGGAGGATATCAAAATCACAAAAGAGCGCACCCCAGCAAGTGAAGAAGAGCCCACAGAGTGGGAAGCCAATCGTGAAGGTTAGCTTGCTTTATTCAAGTGACCTGATGATTTGTCCCTTTTTCTTCTCTTCTGATTTGAACTAAGTATGGACTTTATCATGTTCTCTCATTTCAACTTTTCTTTTAATCTACTTTAAGACTCAGATATCGGTGACTACGACTACGAGTTATCCCTAGAGATGAAGCGTCAGAAGATCCAACGTGAGCTGATGAAGTTGGAGAACTTGGACAAGAGGGATGAGATTGTCATCAAGAAGGAGGAGACCCCCGCCAAAACAAGAGCCACCGCCATGCCGAAGGTATGTTACATCACTGATATTCCTTCATGGAAGCTCACAGGCCTCTCTGAAAGTCCTTTGGGAGCATCTCTGATTTTAATTTCACCTGAACTGTTTTCCTTATCCTCAGGCTTCTCCAGAGCCGTTAGGCAGTAAGGATTCACCTTCACCCAGGAAGGCAAGTGGATCCCCAAAACACAAAAGTGGAACCAAAGGCTCTGGGAAGAAAGAGAAGAAGGCGCTGACGTCCCTGCCCGTTTCAGAAACTACCAGGTAGCGGTCTAGAGCCACGATGTCAACATATGTAGAATGTTTTGGCCATTTAAAATGCAAGTACCTAAATTAAAAATGATATCATTATTATATTTGAGGAAGTAATGATAGATGTTTTCTCTCCTCTTCCCTCCAGGCCTTCGAAAGGGAGCCACAGTAAGAAGAAAGGGCCCCGTACCCCCAGTCCTCCTCCCCCAGTGCCTCTGGACCTTCCCGTGGTTGGGAAGAAACACAAAGGCAAGCACAAGAACAAGGAGAAGTCAGAGGAGAAGCAGAAGGAGGCAAAAGATCGGGGGCGAGATGCAGAAAAACACAAGGAGAAGAAGGAGAAACGCAGGTGTGGTGTAATTCAGATGACTCTCTTTAGTAGTGCGGTCATTCATACAAGAAACCCCTGTTTGAACATTCCTGTGTTGCCTTTAGGGACCGATCGGACAGTTCCCACAAGGCCAAGCGGTCAGTGACGTCAGAGGAGCGATCTGGCAGCGTGTCATCCCCCTCGAGGTGCATCTCCCCCCCAGCCAGGAAGAAATCCAGCTCTCCTAAAGCATCGTCGCATAAAGCCCCCGTACTGGCCTCCCCTCCTCGCAGGTTAGCACGTGCTGGGTTTATTCTGATCAAAAATACTTTTATAAAATGTTCATAGCCAGGGTTGCGTACAGAATTGAATATCAGATTATTTTCAAGTTTCATGCCAGAAATTATGTTGTAAGGTTCAAGGCTTTTATTGTCATGTGTACATAGCTACAGTGAAATAGAAATTGTGCAGAATAGTCTATATACAAGTAATTGGAATATTGATATATATAAGTTGCAAACAGATGAATGTGTAACAACTAGGGCTGTACCTGAATATTCGTTCGTTGGAGTACTATTCAGGCTTCAATTTCGTTATTCGGATATTCGTTTTGTTTGTTTTTTCGTTTTTTTTTCCCGTTTTTTTTTTTCTAAATTGAATTTATTGAAATCTCCAATATCAACGTAAGAGCTTCGGGGGTTGCTAACACTTAACCATAAACGTTATATTTTACTTTCTCCGTCTTTATATGTAGATATTACTTTTCTCCGTTAATCTCCGTCACGTTGTTTCCATAGCAACAACAACTTCCTGTCAACTGCGCTAACTCTCCTTCAAAATAAAAGCATGTCCATAAATAGGAAGCCAAGCCAAATTACACTTAAGACATAATACAACTGCAACAAAAGTAACAAACACAATGCGAAAACCTTTTCAATTGCAAAGAACACAAATTGGGTTACATTAACAAATAACTATAAAACAACCATACTGTAGAATAACAAAATGAATGCCGTGAATACACCGAAATACACGTGTTGAAGCGATTCGCTGCTGATTACTATGCCCCCGGCATTAATTAATGATGATTAATCACCATTCTAACTATGTCCAAAATATGCCATTTCTTTATGTATATTGTTGTGGGAATGGAAAGATAAATGAAAGAAGGCGGATATATATCCATTTAACACACAGT